TAAAATCACGGAATATATTACGTGAGATCATTGGCCGTTATACCAAATCGTGTATAATATTTTCGGATGTACTCTTTCAGCGTACCAGGGGTTTTTTAATCTTTGAAGATTTCTGCACCGTCGTGGAAATAAGATCGAATTGGGCGCTCATCTGTTGGACGTTGTTAACCGGGTATGAATGCGTTTTTCGATTTATTTTTCGTTCAATGGCTAGGATCGTCGTGTACGGTGGTTAGAAATTTTAAGAGTTGTGTTGATACTTGATTATATTATGTAGAACGTTTTTTAACAAAATTATTCCGTCATATATACATCGTTAATTTTGGCGGATGATGTTTGTTTGGAAGAGGATTGACAGAGTTAGATAAGGATTGTTCACGCAGATTGGACCAGAGTTATTTTATATGAACATCGTAGTTGGTTTACGTAGTAATTGAAATAACTGTCCGCGGTCGTGGAGTTCATGTGTCTGATCCCGGTCGATAGTTGATTTATTTGTTTATAACAGCGGATTTTAGGACGCTGGGTAGTACATTAAAATATACTTTGTAGTCTTTTTTAAGTTATCGTATGAATTTTGCATTTTAAGTTTAGTTTTGATCATATTAATATATTTTTTAGTATTTTGTATTTTTAATGTCGTATCATGATTCAAGGTTTTTATCGATGGCGAATTTTGTACGGATTTTGTTGAGGTTTGGTGGGTTGGTTGCTATAAAGAAGTGTTCGAATGGGTTTACTCGCGGTTCATTGGTTGCATTTGTTATTTCAAAGTGGCCACAACTCGATGGGTGGGATATAAGCATGACATATAGGCTGGAAGGCGTTGGTGAATGTATCTTGGCTGACGATGAGGACATAATTTCGAGGTTTGGTGGGTTGGTTGCTATAAAGAGGTGTTTACGATGTAATGGCTCGGTAACGTCGGTTAAGTGCTAAACCGTTGTAATACAGTAGTATACTATTATGAATACCATATGATACTACCATTATCATTTTATTATACTATTATGAGATTATTAATGTACTAGAGTTTTTTAACTCGACATATTGGTTTGATTGTGTTATGATGTGTTTTAAGTATTTTATCAAAACCCTAGATTGAAATTATGAGATTATTAATGTACTATTTTATTGGTTATGTTGGAATACTTTACGTTGGTTTTGTTCTCAATGTTCTTGTCATTTCAGTGGTGTATTGTTTGTAACACAATTTTATATCACTACTATAACCGTAATATACTATCATAGCAGATTAATGTACTATATTGAAATTATTAATATACTATGTGGTTGAATAATACGGGATCCATAGTCGATTAACGAGATCCATAGTCGAATTAGATCAATTAGATAGTCTATTACATGATATAAGGAAAATTACCCTAATTGATTAATATTTCAAACAAACATAATATCCAGTTTCCATTTATATTATTATTTTTTCATATATATTATTATTATTTACCCTAATCGTTTTCATATAATAAGGAAAATTACCCTAATTGATTAGTATTTCAAACAAACATATTATTCAGTTTCCATATATATTATTATTATTATTATTATTCTATGGTTTTGATGATTCTTCGGCCCATAGTCGATTAACGAGATCCATAGTAAAATTATACCAGTGGGATAGTCTATTAAATGATATGGGATAGTATATTAACACAGATGTAATTCGACTATGCATCTCGTTAATCAACTATGGGCCGAAGAATTATCAAAACCCTAGATTTGAGTAATCCTAGATTTGAGTAACCCTAGATTGGAGCAGTGACGGCGGCCCATAGTCGATTAACGAGATCCATAGTCAAATTATATCAGTGGGATAGTTTATTAGTATATTGTCGGTTTCGTTGGGCCAAATTACGTGAGTTTGCCAGAGATTTGCTGCCCAAGTATTTCAAGCACAACAATTTCTCCAGTTTCGTTCGGCAACTGAATACTTACGTGAGGTTTTGCTAATCGAATCCTTCGATCTGTAACGAGGAATTTTGGTTTTTTTTTTTTTTTTTTTTCGGTTATTGATTGAGTTGCTTATCTGATGAATTTTTAGGGATTTGGGAAGGTTATGCCTGATCGGTGGGAGTTCTCCAATGAATGCTTTCGAAAAGACGAGAAAAGGCTGTTGTGCGAAATCCAGCACCGGAAAATTGCTACGACGCTGCACCACAGCGGACGGTGTCTCCGTCAGACTCCGGCGAGGAGCAAGTACTTTCCTCATCTAATTCCCCCGGCACCGTCCGCGAGATCCGTATAAATTTCTGGTTTTGAGAGGTTTGCAGTTTTTTGGTAGTGGGTTTGTGGGGATAGTGTTTTAACGGGAAAATAGGGTGGGATTTGATATTATTTCAAAAGGTAAAGTAACGGGATTTGTGGGATTTGATTGAGGGTACTTATGTAATTTAGAAAAGTTTGGGTTTTTAACAAAATGGCAAATTTAAGTTTGGGTCTACCCCTATTATTTGAATGTCTAAGGGGGTTATATCTAATAGACCCTTGAATAAAATCAATATTTTATAAGCTATGTGAAAAATATTCAGTAAAAATCTAACCAATTGAAATTATTATAAAGTACTAGTAATTAAGGTAGTGTTACTTAAGATTTAAATAATAAATCTTAATCTATAATTATTCTTAAATTATGATAATACAATTATGCCCTTCATAGCCCTATATCCAACGATCAATTCATTTTTCTCCTCTTCTCTTTCTCCTCTAACAAAGCAATGATTGTAAATAGTAGATTTGTGTCTAGATTAGTTAGGATTTAGTTACCTAGTCAAACTCTATTACCTTGCAATATTTCTCTATATATATTCCATGTAATCAACCCATAACACAATGGGGGGTTTCTATCATATTACGTATTATTATTTATCTCCTTCTCTTATTCTATTCTTCCTAGTATCAGAGCACCAGGTTTAGGTTTTTTAACCTAGCCGCCTTTCTTCTTCATGGCGGTGACCACCCAATTTTCTCCCTCCCCGGTGGTGGTGGTACTCCTAATATCTTTCTTTTTCTATTTTCTTTTATGAACACCACCCGAATTTTCTCCCTCCTCGGTGGTGTATCTATTTTCTCTATCTTTTTCTATCTTCTTCTTCTTTTTCTTTCTCCATGGCCTAAAACCTAGCCGCCGCTTCTCTTCTTCTCCATGGCCGGCGACCACCAAACCGAATTTTCTCCCTCTCTCGGTGGTGTATCTTCTCTATCTTTTTCTTCTTCTTCTTCTTCTTCTCCATGGCCTAAAACCTAGCCGCTGCCTCTCTTCTTCTCCATGGCCGGCGACCCCTCTCTCATCTCTTCTCTCTATCTCGATTAAAAAAAAAAAAAAAAGTTCTTATTTTTCTCTCACCCGTTATTATTATTATATTTTTTTATCAATTGGACAGATATTTTCACAGAGGAATTCTCTAGCGATGTGTTTCGCGGTTTCTGTCCAGTCTTCACGTTTGAAGTTTATTCGTTTTGAAGTTTATTCGTTCCGACTGCGGGAGCGTGCTAGCAAGTGAATGTCCAGTCTTCACGTTCGTCACGTTTCGACTGCGGGGGCGTGTTAGAGAATATTGAGAATATTATATTATAGAACTCTTGTAATATTAGGATTCTAGTATGATTGAGTTACCTAGATTAGTTAGGATTTAGTTACCTAGTCAAACTCTATTACCTTGCAATATTTCTCTATATATATTCCATGTAATCAACCCATAACATAATGGAGGTTTCTATCATATTACGTATTATTATTTATCTCCTTCTCTTATTCTATTCTGATACGATATATATATAATATATCGTATATTTATTCGTTAGTTAGTATTTTATTATTTAATATATTATTTAAGTATTATTTTAATTAGTAGTTTATTGATAATTAGATTAGATTAGTATATTTAGATTAATATATGGCGTGAGTAGTAGTGATTAGTGAATTATTAAGTATTTTATTAGTACAGGTAATTATCTTTCCTAGTGAGATTAGGATTCTAGGGTTTTATTCTCTTTAAATAGTCGTTTTGTGCTAGGGTTTTATAATGCAGAGAAATAATAAAGAAGAGTTTTCTTACGTTTAGTAAAGAAATCCTATGATACTCAAGAGATCGTATCAATTGGTATCAGAGCGAAGTTGCGATAACACCAACGCTTCGTTAGCAAAGTAGAGATTATATCAAAGCTAAGCTGGAGCAAAGTTGAGATCACATCAAAACTTTGTGAAAATTATGATGTCAGAAACAAGACGGTTGGAGCGATTGGAAAAATCCGTAGAGAAATTACGGTTTGATTTTCAGAAATTGCTCGAACAAAGTCAAGGACGACGTCAACACCAACACAAAAGCCGAAGGGACCGCCGCCCATCACCACCACTGCCACCGCCACCACCGCCGCCGCCGTTGTCGAGCCTATCGCCGGAGGGAGAGGAAGAGGACGATGATGAATTTTTCGAAGAACCACAATTTTTTGTGAGTTCACCGAAAGATGAATTATCGGATTCACT